CCGCGCGCCGCGGCCGCCCGCCGCCGCAGGTGCTCAAGCAGGTCTGGCAGAGCGGGGAGCGCTACACGCTCGACCAGTTCGAGGCCAAGTCCCGCGCCTTCGCCAGGGCCCACCTCGCCGGCCTCCGCGACCCGACCCCGCTCGCCGTCGAGTCCCTCTTCTGGAAGGCCTCCGCCGACCGCCCCATCTACGTCGAGTACGCCAACGACGTCCCCGGATCCGGCTTCGCGGCCTCCGCGCAGTCGCATCGCCGCCCGCACAAGAAGCGGAGGCGGGAGGGCGCCCCGAGTTCGCCGGATGAAGGGGACAAGGCCACGGGGTGGAAGCTCTCCAGCAGCCCCTGGAACCTCCAGGCCATCGCGCGGGCTCCAGGGTCGCTCACCCGGTTCATGCCAGATGATGTTCCCGGTGTCACTTCTCCCATGGTCTACATCGGGATGCTCTTCAGCTGGTTCGCATGGCACATCGAGGACCATGAGCTCCACAGCCTCAACTTCCTGCACACCGGTGCGCCCAAGACGTGGTACGCGGTCCCTGGGGATCGGGCGGCCGAGCTCGAGGAAGTTATCCGTGTGCATGGCTATGGAGGCAATCCTGATCGCCTTGGTATTTATTTCCCTTTCTTATGTTTGCTTATGCGATCAGTATATTCATCGTTCTAGTATTATGAATCGACTGAATGTTTGTTCGTGCAGCGTCCCTGGCAGTGCTTGGGGAGAAAACGACATTGATGTCCCCTGAGGTCATTGTAGCCGCTGGTCTGCCCTGTTGTAGGTACATTCTCTGAAATGGTCACTGCTCATTGTTTTCTTGTCAAAAAGTGGCTATGGTACATTAACATTTAATTTCTGTACTGATATGCATTCTGCATCTGTGCTTCAGATTGGTGCAGCATCCTGGTGAATTTGTGGTGACGTTCCCAAGGGCCTACCATGTCGGGTTTAGCCATGGTCAGTTCATCTAGGCTTTAGATTTCATTACACCTGTTGTTATGACATTCCGTTATTGTGTTGATAATTGTTAGACTATGTATTACAGCTATGGTGTAATTTTATGTTTATGGCACTGGCAGTAAACTAAAATAATCCACGATTGCCCGTGCCCTGATGTGTGCTGTTGTTGTATTGTTACATCAAAATAACTTTTGATATCTAGGTACATATCAAAACTACTAGGGAACTCTTGATTTTTTTTTTGCCAGAAGTCCGGCCATGTTTGATTTTCATATCGTTATAGTTGTTTTGCTGCATTGGACTTCTACCCGTTTTGTTTATAAACATTCAAAGAATTTAACTTCGTAAGTCTATAATGCTGCTCTAAAGTTTGTTAATGACCAGGATAGTGTTATCTCTGCATGCCTGTAATATTAAGTTGAGGGCTTCTACTATGACTTAAACTCCCCTGAGGTACTACCTATGTATAAGGACAATTTATTTTGCGCGACCACCAGATAATGTACAGCGTAGAGACTGAAGATCTACATCTATGCATTTTGATTGTTCTGTGCAGCAGTTCTAAATGGTCTGACCAATATATTACAGGATTTAATTGTGGAGAAGCTGCCAACTTTGCAACTCCCCAGTGGCTGAAGTTTGCCAAAGAGGCCGCAGTTCGAAGAGCTGTGATGAATTATCTTCCAATGCTTTCTCATCAACAGCTACTGTATTTGCTAGCAGTTTCCTTTATATCCAGGTAAACTTTTATTTATGACCCTACATACAGATCAATGCAGAATACTTTTTTTGTCTCCCTACAAGAGCCAAATGGTAGAATAAGCGGTTTAATTAGATGTACTCGTTAGCTCTGGCATAACAAAGTGATTATGCATGGGGTATACATTTGTTAGGTCTGGATGCTGAATTTCTTATGTATAAGTTCAGAAGTATTTGTACATCTATTGGAACTTGTGTGGGGGGGTAGTAGGCGCCTGCATCATCTGGTACACCAAGATAACAAATTTAAATTATTTGCTCAGAGACCAGGGAATCATATCACATTGATAGATAAGTGATACCATTGAAACATGAAAATGAGTTCTGCAGTAGAAGATCCCCAATACAAGTATCGAATATTGCATTAGTACTTCTCTACCCGTAGCTTATATTTTTGTTGAAGGCTGCATCTGGTTAACATTGTGGCTTGCCAACCATCATCCCACTAGCTTGTAGGAGCAAAAATCACCACTTGCTGTTATGTGGTTTAACATAAATTGTAACTTGGTGCTGTCCCTTATCCAGTTACCTATGGTGTGCAAGACCCATTCTGATTCTTTATTTGCCCAACACACATCAATGCTGCGCCTTCACAAGAGAAATTAGTCACATAACTTCTTATAGATAAGAAGTTAGGAACAGAAATGATCACCATTCGAATCTACAGAGACTTTTTATCGATGGCAATAGGTATCATTAGCATTTCACTGTTCGGAGGTGCGATAACATGGCTGAAGGTAACACTTAGTATTAAATGTAATAGGAAAATTCATTATTTAATACCATTCAATGATCATGCATTTGGCCTGTATCTTGTCAGAATTTAACATGTATAATAAACTGATAAAATAGTAGAACTTCAGAGTTTAGGAGAACACCACAGAAGCCCAAACACTACAGTTAAAAAGAGAAGGGCAGGAAAGCTTTAAATGATAATGTCCCTAGGACCTCTGAACGCTCCAGGCTCTCTTGAGAAGCTAGCAATGCCATTTTAAGCTAACAATGTCATTACCTTTACATTATATGTATTGAGATTTGTATCTTCCTGTTTGTAGAAGTGGTTTAGTTATGTTGGACAGAATCATGATTGCCTTCTGTGTCGGAACTTATGGCTAATGAAACATGTAACATAAAAAATCATTGACCAACCAAGCACTAGCACTTGGCATTGTTGCAAGACAAAATGACAGACACCAGAATTTCCGTGGAATAAATTTTGCTCCACAGGAGTCGAACCCCAGTGGGTGGGTTGGTGCTAGCGCATCACTCCCCAGTCCCCACAGACCGAGCAACGCTTGGTTCGTGAAAGAAAATTTATCATAAGAAGCACACCTGTCATTGTCGTATGATGACAAAGTTGTTCTCTTGATCAGTTGGTCTCCATGCTATAATTATGGATTTAATTATGCTTGATTTCTAGTGCTTTTCGTCCATATTAAAATCATGAGGCTGCCAGATGATTATTAGGTTTATCATTCAGAATCTTGAATCTAGTTGGTTATTTTGATTTCAGAACCCCCAGAGAATTATTGTATGGAATTCGAACCTCTCGTTTGAGAGATCGGAGAAAAGAAGAAAGGGAACTACTAGTCAAACGGGAGTTCTTACAAGATATGATTAGTGAAAATGAACTTTTGTGTGCTTTTCTCAAGAAGAAATTAATTGAAAATGCTGTTCTATGGGAGCCTGACCTGCTGCCATCTTCTACTGCTTTACATTCCTGCTCCTCTGGCCCAAAAGCTCCTTTGAAGGTTGATGATGTTCACAGTATCGAGTCTGTCCCCAAAGAGAACAGTTCATCTGATGATATTGCATCTAGAGCTGGGATACAACCTAAATGCATGTCTATGGACAGCAAATCATCTGATGCCATGTCTGCTGCCGAGGCGCAAAAACTTGATACTGACACTGATGATGATGGTGACCTTCCTTTTGATTTGAGCATTGATTCTGGCTCATTGACCTGCGTTGCTTGTGGAATTCTTGGCTTCCCATTTATGGCAATTTTGCAACCCTCCAAGAAAGCATTGGAAGATATGTCCCTTGTTGATATAGAGAGATTTAAGCTGAATTGTGAAAAAGAGAACCATTCAAATGCAATTCCATGTTCTCCTGATGATAGCATTTCAGGTATGTCCAGCTTTTGTAGTCTCTTACAGGTGCAGGAACTAAGTGAACATTTTACTGACAGGTGCAGATTTGTTTTGTGTTGTCAATTGCCATCGTTGGTACTTCTCGCTCTTGTCATAGTTCCGCTTATATGATAAACCTCACTAGGATCAAATTCTTAGTATCCTTGAATCCTTATTTTCTCTTTTCGTCAAACATGATGAGCGATCCTGTCTTTTAGCACGTTACAATTAATGGGTATGGTCAAGTAGAAATATTCTGTCTAGAATAATTGCAATACCAATGGAATTCTTGCTGTGTGCTAATCATTGATTACATCGCAGCTACTTTGTTTTAATTACATTGTTTGCTGATTTTTTGGTGATACATGGAACACATTACTAGACCCTTTTTTCCGACTGTTCTCTTATATATTATAATTGTTGAAGTGTATATGTAGATTGCCTAGCCCTTTCCATCAGTTCTGACTTTTGGTTGCGTTGGCTAGTGCATGAAGCTTTAACATGGTATCAGGGCCTAAGGTCTTGCGTTCAAGTCCTGGTTTTCGCAATTTATCCAAAAATTGCTGCTCCCCCCCTCTGTGTCCACATATAGGCTTCTTGAGCCATACCTCCGAGTCTATTCACGTGTTGACTTCCCTCGTCACATGTGAGAGGGGTTGTTGAAGTGTATATGTGGATTGCCTAGCCCTTTCCATCAGTTCTGACTTTTGGTTGCCTTGGCTAGTGCATGAAGCTTACCAATAATTAGTATCCTTGCTTGTTTATTAAATATACTTTCTTGTACATTTCATTCTTTTATATTTCAGGTTTAGCCACAGTGATATGTTTTGTTTTTGCATGTGTGAATATTTGACAAAGGTTTCTCCTTATTTGCCAGGACATCCAGTTATTGCCAAAAGACCTTCCAGCCCTGTGGCACAGTCTAACTTCAGTCATCAGAATGCGGAATCAGATAAAGATGGTGTGGGACTTGATGGACCCCTACTACCACATAATAATAGTGCACATTCTTGCAATAGTGAAAATACCCTTAATCCGGGCATCAACACAGAGACAACTGAGACGAAAATACCGAGTGCTCGTTTTGGTATAGAATTTAGTAAACAAACTGGCAGAGGTGATATTGATGCACAAACCACAGAAAGTTGCGGCAACACTGTTGACTGGAATATAACCTCTGCATTTGTACGTCCCCGTATCTTCTGCTTGCAACATGCACTTGAGATTGGGGAGTTGCTTGAAGGCAAAGGGGGTGCACATGCTCTCATCATTTGCCATGCAGGTAGAGTATGATGCTAACTTCCTTTATTCTCATATTCTCTTTTACTGCAAATGCCTGATGCACGCTGCCTTGATCCTTAACACTGGATATGAAATCAGTAATTCCTCTTATGAGTTTTGACACACTTATGTGTTGTCATCATGTTTGGTTCGTTAAAGCTTTGTTAGAAGATGCTAAATTGGTTTAGATTGTCTTCATCTGTGGGACTTATTTTCTTTGTATTAATAAAGTTATGGCTTCTTCCTCTATATAAAAGACTAAACTCTTGAATATACTATGAAAATCAGTGTATTATTTTGTATCATTGAATAAATCTCCGATCTTTTGTAATCCAAGTGATAAATCCCAAAAAAATATATAATAACATGGAACATATTGACTTGTATAAATTTATTCCAGTAGATACTAATTGGAGGGGATGGTCTTGAAGCCCTGTACTAGGATGGAGCACATAAATTACTGCAATTATTTGTACAAAAGCCAATTTATTTTTTGAAGGATATAATACAATTGAACTCTGGTCTTCTGGTGTTTGCTCAATGTGATTGGTGTCGGTATTCGCTGGTGTTATGCAAGTGAACTGTGCTTGCAGCTAATTGCAGCTATGTGTGGAAATTACAGATGACACGTGACTTGACCCACCATGTCCTATTTTTGTAAATGGTCTTTCTGTCGGATGCTATATAAAACAGTACAGAATAATGCGATGATGGAATAGACAATAGATAGAATGAGCATAGGAGTCAAAGTAGCGGTGCTTGTTTAATTAGCAAAAAGAGTGGCATCTGACTGTTTATGGCACTAAGTCCAAACTTTAGGTCAAAAGGATCACTTCAAAGATTGCGCACATATGTCCTGAAGCGATCCAGGGAGCTCTTGGCCCACATTTCCTTCTCTGTTGACCCAAGAGTGCTAATTGCAGATGCATGTAAATGACTCTAGCTCGGAGCTTATGCCTCCTTCAAAATATCTCAAGTGAACTCTTGTTCTGAATCATGATTAGGAACCAATTCTACACATGTTAATGCCATAATTTGATTAGTGTATTTCTTGAAGTTTAAAAATTCCCCTTATTTTTTTTGCAGATTACACCAAGCTAAAAGCACTTGCAATATCAATTGCAGAGGAAATTGAGTTTCAGTTTGACTGTAAAGATGTTCCACTTGCAAATGCGTCCAAATCTGATCTACATCTAATCAACATTTCAATTGATGACGAGGGGTACAAGGAAGATGAAAGAGATTGGACAACACAGATGGGTCTAAACATGAAATATTTTGCCAAGCTTAGGAAAGAAACACCAGGTTGCCAAGAGCAACCTCCTTTGTCATTTTGGAAGAGATTAGACATCTCAGATAAGCCTTCGCCTATTTCTGTCGTTCCAAACCTCAAATGGCTCTGCAGAAGAGCACGAACCCCATATAGGGTTGTTGGTTATGCTGCCAGTCGTAATGCCACAGTAGGTCGTGACGTGGTTAGCCCTGCAGTTACAAAGGCTGAGATGGGCACTTCTGGAAATGCTTACGAGAATGCCAAAGAACAACGAACTGCTGAACAAGATGCCCCTCTGGAGCCAAGTAGGTTACAAGAAGCTGACGATGTTGCTGATATGCACACGTGTTCTGAGGACATTGATCAAGACATGCATTGTCTGATTGGTAGCAAAAGGCAGCGAACCGCTGAACAAAATGCCCCTCTGCAGCCAAGTAGGTTGCAAGAAGCTGACGATGTAGTCGATATGCACACGTGTTCTGTGGACAATGATCAAGACATGCATCGTCTGATTGGTATCCCTGTTGCTGCTGCTGAATATCCGATGATGCATCAAGTTTGTGAAGGTACAGTAAGTGTTAGCACCTGTGAACTTGACGATCTGGTAAGTGCTAGCACTAGTGATGATTCAATTTGTTCAGCGCATTCTCAGGATTCACCTGGGGTGTCAGATGACTTTACCACTGAACAGCAATGTGTCCAGTCAGATGAGTTGACTAGTTCCGTGGCTATGTCCGCACAACAGTTCCTTGTAGATGGAAGCATGACTGCAGAAGACAGCAGCAATCATGAAAACTTGGGTTCTTATAATGTCACTTCAGAGTGCAAAGACAAACAGCTCCAAGTTCAACAGGAGCAGGAGAATATTGAACTTTGTAATAATGCTGGCAGAAACTTGGCCGCGGCAGTACAGGTCAATTCCGGCCATTTTGGTGACAAGGCCGTCAATCTCAAGAGCGCTATTCCTACTGAGTCACAGCATGAGTATCCGAAGAGAGATGCCATCGTTTTGGAAGGCATGCAAGCTGCTTTGACGACTGTGGTCTCTGGAGAAAATAGAAATTCAGTTAACACAGAATTGGATTCTCTTGGTATTTTACTTGGAGCTTTAGCAGAAGAATCCATTCTAGCTGATGTTCCTGGAAAAGATGAGGTTGACGATGCTTCCTTGACATTGATGACACTGGCTAGCATTGACCAGTCTGCAGGTGATGTTGCACACAATGAAGTTATAGAGACGTCTAGCTCTTCTGTTGGCGCATCTATTTCATGCAAGGGACGGACTTTGTCCAATTTGGCATCTGATGGATCGCTTAGGATTCAGAATGCTGAAATACAAAATAAACAAGAAAATGCTGAAGAAGTTGGTGCCTGGAACTGCCAGGGTTTGAAGAACAGCAGAGGAATACTTGACAGTTCAGCAAACAGTTTATCTGATACAGGCAAAAGTTCAGGCACACCAAAAGCTTATCAACCAGACATATTGTCTAGAAGTATTGGAAGCTCAAAAAGAACAAGTATCATATGCTATGTCAGACGCAAGCGCAAGCAAAAAAGAAAGAGGGAATCTGAGTTAAGTACCAGTAATTCGCAAAGTTTTGGGAGCTTTGCCCGCGCGCCATGCGAGAGGCTGAGGCCCAGGAGGAAACCTGCAGTAATTGAAGAGCCGGCAGAGCAGATTGAAACCGCAAAACCTTCCGCTGCCGCAACCAAGGGCAAGAGGTCCAAGGTGGTGGAGTTATTTCAGTGCGAGATCGATTTCTGCGACATGACATTCGAGAGCAGAGCCGAGCTCCGCGCCCACGAGCGCAACATCTGCACCGACGAGTCGTGCGGCAAGCGCTTCCAGTCGCACAAGTACCTGAAGCGCCACCAGTGTGTCCACCGCGACGAGAGGCCCTTCAAGTGCCCCTGGGACGGCTGCGGGATGACCTTCAAGTGGCTGTGGGCGCAGACAGAACACATAAGAGTCCACACGGGGGAGCGCCCGTACGAGTGCTCAGTCCCTGACTGCGGGCAGACGTTTAGATACGTCTCGGACTACAGTCGGCACCGGAGGAAGTTTAATCATTACTGATTGGACGTCGCAGAGGAAGTTTAATCATTACTGATTGGACGTCGCAGCGGTGCTGGGGGGCAAAGGCTCCTCCTCCGGCTGGTGCTGCATTGTGTGTTGAGGTACGTTGGTCCTTTGTTTGTTGTAGCAGGCTAGCAGCTCACGTATTTAATTAACCGCCCGATGGCTGGTAGTCCTAGTGTTAATCCCCTTCGTTAACAATGTGCCAAGTGTAGTCTAGGATGTAGAGATAGATTGGGGGGTAAAAGGCCAGATGGCCCTTCATTCTTTTTCTCCGTCAGTCCAGTCATGTATGTAATCCCTTGATAAAGTTTTATCAATTGCGATGATGCCGAAATCTCCCTCAGTTGAGTCATGTATCTAAACTAATCTATGCTAAAGTTTATCAATGCAATGACGATGACAGATCGTCTGGTTCGTTCGTTTTTCTCCTGAGGTTGTCGAATTATTAGCAATAGGATCTTGACATCATGCGAGTGGTTTGGGATTTGGTTTTGTGGTAGGCGAAGCAGCATTGTTGGGAACCTTGCAATTGCAGACCTACTGATTCTTTCTGGGGCACACGCTACACGTGATTACAGCATTGATTTTTACACTCGTTAAACAGTCTGAGGCGTTGGATTCTTTGCTGCTTTGCCTTATATGACTAAGTGACTTATAAAGTGCAGATCTTAGGGACTCATAAGGATCCAGGTCCTCTAAAAAAACCCGGTAATTTTATTCGAATTGAGCTAGGGAACACAAAGTAAACAACAGCCATACCAGGGAATTGCTACAGATAGAGTATATCAAAACAAGGGAGCAAGAATAACATTGATTGAGAGAATAAAAAAGAGCTCTTGTTCCAGGTTATCACTTTGACTACTTCCGTTTTATCACCTTAATATAAGTCCTACGCGTATACCTAGGTTGCCAATTTTATCACCTTAATATAAACTACATAGCACAAAAATTAGCACAAAAATTATACGGTTTGAAAATAGAGCATCTGAAGTTTATATTGGTATATTTTTTTGTAATATATGACTTGTATTAAGTTGGTCAAATTAACGACCTAGGGGCACACGCACGCCCTGTAAACTGAGAGAGAGGTAGTAGTTTAATTAACTCAAAATCCACAAATATTATACATAATGACGACGATACAAGTTTAATTAATCCAGAAGTAAAAAGACCCAACCAACTAACGATCCTCATGGAGTGAGTAGTGATAACGATATATATATATAGGCCATCTAGACGACGGCGATGGCGATGATCTACTGCGACTCGACGGGCGGCGTCGTGTTGGTTGAGCCGTGGTCCTTGGCGCATCCGCCGAAGATGGGGTCGGCGAACATGGAGCTGACCTTGTTCTTGATGCACTCCCAGTGGTCCCTCCCCTGCGCCTCCGCGAACTGCCGGTACTGGTCCTTGGCCAGCTCCAACAGCGACGCGTCCTCGCCCACCGTCCTCTTGAAGCACGACGTCGCCGCCACCGCCTGCGCCTCCTTCTCCAGCACCGCCGGCGCAGCCGCCCCCTTGTCCTCCATCAGGCCCCGAAAAAGTGAGATTGAAAACTTGTCTACGTGAAGAGAAGAAGACGACGTTGATGGTTGCGGTTGCGTTGGTTTGGTGGCCAGGGGGCGTGGCTACTTATATGCAGGGGAGGTCGGGGTGTCTGGAGGAGGAAGCCGGGTCCGTCTCGAGTAGGGGAAAAGGAAGAAACAAAGAGAGAGACATACTAATTGGATACGAACACAAGTTGAGCACACGAGAAACAACCCAGTCCGGATCATCATCATGGAAGAAAACAAGTACGTAGACACGGATTCTTGATCACAAGTAAAGACGGACTCTGTGACGTTCGCGCTCGGGAGGAGCCATCCCGAACCAACGAATCGTTGGTGCGAGGGCAGGGGAACCACCGAAGGATTTCGTTCGTTGTGACTTGCGAGAGGCCTCCCAGCAGCGCGAACCCTCTCCCTCTAGACCCGATGACCGCCAAACCGAAGGGCAGTACTCTGCGCCGGCGCATCGGCTCAAGTTTGGGCCGGTCGCACTGCAGCCATCCGATCTGGCTACCTATAGCTCGTTGGATAACCCCAGTTGTCTTCTTCCTTCTGTTCGTCAACGCACGGAGAAAATAACTCCTCATCGCCTGTGCCTCCCCATGCGACGCGAGCGACGGGCCAGTGCGCTCTCCGGCGAGGCAGCAACACCGCCGCTTTGGCCCCTCGCGACGCGGCTCGTCGCAGCCCCGCCCCATCATCGCGCCCCCGTTGCAGCACGCAGCCCCCGTTTCCCTCCCCATGGCACGCCGCCGTTGCATTGCACAACCGTGAGCGCAGCGTCTCCCCTGATGCCGGTTTCCACCCGCAAGCATCTCGTGCAGCCCGTCGGCCGGCTGGCTCGCGGCAACCCCTTGCAAAGCACCTCTTGTTGTCGTTGCCGTGCATGGATGTAGCAAAAGCATCCGCTAATGGTAGCAAAACCTGAAGCCAGTTGCAGCAAAAAATAAATAAATATCGCCTATGCGGCAAAAAACACCGTCGCCGCCGTATGTAGCAAGCCTCGGCAGAAAAATGGTGTTCGCCGATAGTAGCAGAAAACAACAACAATCGCGACAAAAAACAACAAAGGTTCCAGCAAAAGATGCATCGCCGCCAAGAAACTCGCCAGATCCAGCAATTTTTTTGCCGGTTGTAGCAAAACAAGAAACCTGTTGTAGCAAAACTGCCTATATCGTCGTCCAGTTCCAGCATCAGTCATGTGTGGATGAAGCTTTTTCGCCCGCTGGTTCCAGCAAAAATGATCTAGGGTTGCAGCACCAGAGCCCGTCATCTTCGCCGCCAACAACTGCTGGTTGCAGCAAAAACATGGTCTCTGGTTCCAGCATCTCCGGACTCTGGTTCCAACAAACCAAAAGCCCGGTTGCAATACCAGAGCCTCTCCCGTCTCCACCTCCGGCAGCAGCTGGTTGCATCAACCATGGCCGCTCGTTCCAGCATCGCTATACTCTGGTTCTAGCGGCGCCGGACCCATGGGTGGCAAGCTCTTGGTAGGGCCGCCGTCGACCCCCCTCTGTCTCCCCCAAAGCGGCGCCAGATCCCCCTGCGAAAAAAAGACAACGCCCATGGCCGGGGGCCTCCCTATCTACCTTGCCAGAGAAGAAAAGGGAATGGAGAAGGGGGACGGCGATGATGCTAAAGTGTGCCTTGTGGTGGTTTCGCGGCAGCGCGGGGAAGGGAGAGAAGAAACAGGGTGCAGGGAGGGCGCAGCTGAAGGTAGAAGATGGCGTGCACGGGAAGAGATAAGGGAGAAATGTGCGGTCCTTGTGGGTCGACCAAAAAACACGCGTCTCACGCGGGGGCGGTATGAGTGGGAGCACAACGCCAGCATGGCGCGTGACCGGCCGAGCGTTCGGCCGGCGCCCCAGCCCCAAACGTTTACCTAAACCGAAACGGCACAAAAAGCCTAAAACAAAATGCCGGCCTGGGTCTGCTAGCACGAAGGAAACCGTACTGAGTTTTTTTATAAAAAAAAAATCTGTACAATAAAAATGCCACGAAAACCTACAAATTGCTATGGATTATTGTAGTACTTGTTTAAACTGCAACACAATACCTACAAAAAACAAAAACGCCATGATAAATGGCAACCAGCGAAAATTTCGTGCTGTGCAAATTTAAAATGGCATGGACCAACATTTTTTTTATCATGCTACAGAAAATAAATTGCCATGTTTGTAATTAAAATTCAAAATTTGTCCAAATACAAATTGACGTTGTCACAAAGAAATTGCCATGGTCTATACACTAAAAATGGCATGACGCATAAAAAATACATTACTGCTAATGTTTTATGAAGCTACAATTGTGTACTGAAAAAATTGTCGTGTTTCCCACACTAAAACTACCGTCTCACGGCCTCACCCCTCCAAAAAATTGCCAACCGTGTCTATAGAAAAAATTGCCATCTTTAAGAAGAAAGTTGCCATGGTGTTTTCTCTGCTTGTCTAGCCAACTTATATGGATATAATCTCATGGATATCTGCCCTCTCTGCCCTAAAACTGAAAATGTTGCTCCTCTACCAATATAGTGAGACTGCAATCATAAAATCGGGAGAATCAATTATAACCCCCTAGTTCATCTGCCTTTGCTCATACACCCCTTTCTTTGTCTGCCTTGCTTATGAGCCCCCTTGTTGCTAAAATTTCTTGACTGTTAGAAGGAAGAAAGAGGATTGGTGGAATAGTTCATTGTATTGCTTGAGCC